GGTTAGCAAAATCCCAAGCTCCCTGGCAAAACTTGGAGCTCTCTGAAAATGTCTGAACGACACTGTTTGCTGTGATGGCAGCAACCTGCAACCCACAGAAGGACATGGCACATTACGCATGCGCAGCTTACTGCAAAGAATCCGAGGAGTCAAGCCTTTAAGCTTGACTTTGGATTCTGTGCCTGCCTTATGCACCATTATTCCCCCCCAGTGTATTTATTTTGCAACTACAACCAAAAAACAGTTTTCTTAATTGGGGTGCGAATGTCACTTGTTATGTGGGGGGGGGGGGGCGTCGGTGTCCAAAGCTTTAAAAAATATATATATGCAATTGCCCTATCGCGGCTGCACAGTAGTGTCAGGTGAGTACCTTCCATTTAAATCCTCCTGGTTCAGTTCCTTGAATGAAAGGGAAGGCAGGCAAACTGAAAGCACTCGCCCTGAAAGGGACAGAACATTTTTTGAAACAGCTGTGAAGCTCCCTTTTCCTTATTGGTGTAGTGGTTAAGTGTGCGGACTCTAATCTGGGAGAGCCGGGTTTGATTCCCCACTCCTCCACTTGCACCTGCTGATGTGACCTTGGGTCAGTCACAAGCTCTGGCACAGCTGTCCTTGAAAAAGAGCAGTTTGTGTCAGAGTTCTCTCAGCCCCACCCACCTCACAGGGTGTCTGTTGTGGGGAGGGGAAGGGAAAGGAGTTTGTAAGCCGCTCTGAGACTCCAAGTGAAGGGCGGGGTATAAATCCAATCTCCCCTCCTCCTCCTCCTCCCCCAGCTCTAGTGGATTCTCTGGCGTGTTTGGAAAGAGTCAGCACCCTCCGCCATCCCCCCCTTTCATTGCCGCACAAGCGCTAATTTTTTAAAAAAAATTATTTTCCCCATAGTTTTACATTTTTTAATAAGCGGTGCGAGGCTAGCAATGAAACGTTAATTTAAATCCACCAAAAGCAAGAGAGTGCACAGTAATGCCGGATCGACACGCGCTCCTGGGCAGGACGTTGGAGAGAGAGAAGGGAGGAGAGAGTCCCCCCCATCCCGGCACCAAGCCGACTGCAGACGTTCCGGGTGTGATTCATACCCAGACTGGAGAAACTCATCCGCTAGACCCTGGAGACAGATGGGGGAGTGGAATGAATAGGGAAGCTTTGGGGACGCTGAGACGGCAGGGGAGGGAGACCACTTGCTGAACAGCTTGGCTGGCCCGTTCCACAGGTGTGCCCGCGCATGTACACACCCGCTAAGCATTTGCCACAGCTGCCGCACTCACTGCTGGGCTTGATCGGTGGCGAACGGCCCGCTGCTGGTCTTTCCCTCTCCCCCTCCCTCCCCCCTTTCAGAGTTTGGGAAGAGGCTGCTTGGTGAGCTGCCAGAGACGCACCTGTAGAGAGCCAGTTTGGTGTCGTGGTTAAGTGCGCGGACTCTGATCTGGGAGAAGCGGGTTTGATTCCCCCACTCCTCCACTTGCACCTGGCTGGATGACCTTGGGCAAGCCATTGTTCTGTCAGAGGTGTTCTTGCAAAACAGGAGTTTCTGTCAGAGCTCTCTCAGCCCCACCTACCTCCCAGGGTGTCTGTTGTGGGGAGGGGAAGGGAAAGGCATTTGTAAGCCGCTCTGAGACTGAGTGAAGGGCGGGGTATTAACTGTCATGAATGTTTTATTGCTTTTATCTGTTTTATATGGGCTTTGCCCCTTGTAAGCCGCCCTGAGTCCGCTCTGTGGGGAGGGCGGGGTATAAATCTTAATAAATAAATAAATAAATCCAATCTCCTCCTCCTCCTCCTCCTCCTCCTTCATTGAAAGGCATTGCGGGGGGCCACAACCTCCTACACAACTCTTTCAAGTTTTTCGCGCTGCCAGAGAAGCACACCGTCCCTTTCCCCCCCCCCCCCCCAGTGATCCAAGACTAGCGATAGTCTCATATCACTAGACTCATGCCGCTTGTAAAAAATAAAATCAAAACATTTAAAGCAACAAGGGAAAAGATAATGGAGCTTCTACACTGATGAAGAGGGGAGGATGGCGGAAGGTGCAGAGAGGGTAGAACAACCTCAAGGTGGGCGGGGTCATGGCCTTTGAGAGGCGGCAAAAGGGCGGGGTGGGGATCCGAGGGAATCTGTATGCCTTTGAATGACCTTCAGCTTGGAAGCGAAACGAGGGGGGGAATCGGCAGGAAAGCGCTCTCAGAAAACCCAGAGAAACAGCGACCAGAAAGTGAACTGAGCACTGAAGGGAGGGGAATCAATGCAGAACGAAACAGAAATGTTTGCACGGTGTGCACAGTGAAAGCGAGGGGAAACACTCGTGCACAATAGGCCTGAGTACAGTAAGGGAATCTCCCAAGAAGTACATTGCCAAAGAGGGTAAACTTACATTCAAGGCTCTTTTTGTAGAAAAAGCCCAGCAGGAACTCATTAGCATAATAGGCCACACCCAACAGCAAAACTCATTAGCATATTAGGCCACACCCTGACCGCACCACTCATTAGCACATTAGGCCACACCCCCATGTTACCAGAAGTGTGGTTATCCAGCCACACCCACCTTTTGCTTGTTATTCTGTTGACCTTGTTTGTGGTCAAAACCCAGGGCTTTTTTTGTAGCAGGAACTTCTTTGCATGTTAGACCACACACCCCGAATGTAGCCAATCCTAATGGGTTTCTGCTGTTGGGTGTGGCCTATTATGCTAATGAGTTCCTGCTGGGCGTGGCCAACTCAGGAGCCAGCCGGAACTCCGTTCCTGCGCGTTCCTGCCCCAAAATAGCCCTGCTTACATTTATGCAAGTAGAAACAGTTCACCTTCAGGTTGCAGTCAAAAGGAGGGAGAGAGAAGCCTAATATAAAGAGTCCTTTTCCCTGTCGCAAATCATGGCCAGCTTGTCTGGCATGTGTGTGGGAGGATGAGGGCTCTGTCTCTACAGGAGAGACCTGCGGAGACGTGTGTCCCATGGAAGGCCATGTGAGAAAAGGGTGAGGACAGAGAGAGAGGAGGGGGTCAGAGGGCAGCTCCCGGGTTTAGACAAAGGGAGGCCTCCCATTCAAGGACATAACACTTGTTCACCCTTAGAGTGACATAAGGTAAAGGTTCCCTTGCTCAAAATAATCAGTAAGGACAAAGAAGAAAAAAGGGGGGAAAGACTGAACCTAAACCTAGAATTCAGAACCTAAAAAAGGTTAGTCAAGAATAGAAGAGGGCTAACTCTAAAAATCTAATTATAAAACATACAAAAATATACATGTATTTATTCAACATAAATTAAAATGGGCCCTTGTTTGTTTTAATTTATGTTGAATAAATACATGTATATTTTTGTATGTTTTATAATTAGATTTTTAGAGTTGGCCCTCTTCTATTCTTGACTAACCTTTTTTAGGTTCTGAATCCCTCGCTCGAAAGCCAGTCGAATCCGACTCTAGGGTTGCGGTGCTCATCTCCGTTTCAAAGCCGAAGAGCCAGCGCTGTCCGAAACCATTTCCGTAGTCATGTAGCCGGCATGACTAAACACCAAGGCACACGGAATGCTGTTCCCTTCCCACCGAAGTGGTCCCTATTTATCTACTTGCAATTTCTTGCTCTCGAACTGCTAGATTGGCAGGAGCTGGAACTAGAGACGGGAGCTCACTCCGTCATGCGACACACTCGGGTCTCGAACTGCTGAACTACTGACCTTCCACAGCCTGCAGTTCAGCGTCTTAACCACTTGAGCCACCGCAGCTCCTAGAGTGACATAGTGCCCCCCTGATGTCCAGGTATACTGAATCGCTTACTCCAACATTCCCCTCTCCCTCCCTCTCTCCCTCCCTCCACTAATCTCCTTAGCTTCTTTGCTTCTCTTTTCCGACACCTTATTGGTCAATTTTTGGTTCATGGAGTTGTAGAGGGCAGTGTGGGGAAAGACGGTATGGGGAAGAAAACGGAAAGAAGGGAAAGGTTAGGGACAAATGTAGCTGGTCTTAATGGTAGGATTAATATGTATTGTTTATTTCCTTTGTCTCCACAGCTGTGGGAGGCTTCTCCTGTGTTAGGAAAGAACAAACATTTCACTAAAACGCAATGATTTCTAAAGATCCATTGATATCATATAGTCCTTTTTAAAAAGGGGGGGGGATACAGCAGGATGGACCTCGGGTAATAAACCACTTGTGCAGTTTTTTCTACTCTGACACTTTTGAAGGAAATGTTCTCTAACTTGGTTTTGAAAGCCACCTATAGGAATGTAGTTGTCTGCTTTGTTCTACATCCCAGAAACGGATAGCAGCAACACAGTGTTAGAACATAAGAATATAAGAGACGCCAATGTTGGATCAGGCCAAAGGCCCATCTAGTCCAACACTCTGTGTCACACAGTGGCCAGAAATACCAGGTGCCACCAGGAGGTCCACCAGTGGGGCCAGGACATTAGAAGCCCTCCCACTGTTGACCCCCCCAGGCACCAAGAAGACAGAGCATCCCTTGCCCCAGAGCCCCTATCTATACCTTGTGGCTCATAGCCACTGATGGACCTCTGCTCCATATGCTTATCTAATTCCCTTTTGAAGCCGTCCATGCTTGTAGCCGCCGCCACCTTCTGTGGCAGTGAATTCCATGTGTGTTAGTGCTCTGGAACGCTCAAAGCCCGTCGCGTCTGCAATCGTGCCCTGTATGACAGGTCAATATTATTACCCCCATATCCCAGATTGAAGGACTAAGATTTGGCCGACGCAACTCAGTAAATGTGTTCATGCCAGAAGGGAGATTTTGCACCAGGGGCTTCCCTCGTTCACCCCTTCGTGTGTCAGTGATGTAAGGAAAGGTTCTCATGTCCATGCAAGAGTCATGTTCGGCACAATCTCCAGTTCAGTCGCAGCAGATATTCAGGCCCCAGAAACCTGCCCAGGCGGAGGAATTTGCAAGACCAAAGCCTGCATTTCCTTTTAGCTGTTAAAAGAGCTGCGATCAGACGATCAGCGTAGAACCCAAATGGCCCTTTCTTTCCAGCTGATCTGCTTTCTTTTCTTCCCTAGGAAAATGGGACCCGTTAATGCCAGTGCAGAGATTTCCCTTTAATGAGACTGTAGAGGGAAAGGAACGGAGGATGGATGGCATCGCGGACCCGAAGAACGTGCTGAAGCCCGGCAAAGACGCTGACCCGAAGAAAAGGAATGGCTTGATTAACACCAGGAACTTGATGGCCGAGGGCAGGGACGGGCTGGTGTCTGTGTACCCAACCCCCCAGTATCAGAGCCGGCCGACGGGGACGCTCTCTTCTCCGTGCTTCCCCAGGAGCGACCCAGTCCAGCAGCTTCTGGACCCCAGCACCCTGCCCCAGACGGTGGAGTCCCGCTACCACCCGAACATCATCCTCTATTCGGAGAGCATGCTGCGATCGTGGGGGGAGAGCATCAGCGCCGAGTGCTGCGAGACCACCTTCATCGAGAACAGGTCGCCCGCCAAAGACGGCTTGGAGTACTCCGACGGCAGATTTGTCAGCCTGTCCACCGACGAGATCAAGATCCACGCCCTCTCCTACGACCTGGATGAGGACGACGACTTCCAGGAACTCGAGGTCAGGCTGGTCTGCTGGTCCTAGTCCATTGCCATTCCAAGCGGTCTCATGACGCGGCCAGTTGTGTGTCCCAAGGCATAAATCCCTAAATCACTCACTAGCCAGTTTGGTGTAGTGGTTAAGTGGGCAGACTCTAATCTGCAGGGCTATTTTTGGGCAGGAACGCACAGGAACGGAGTTCCGGCTGGCTCCCGAGTAGGCCACGCCCAGCAGGCACTCATTAGCATAATAGGCCACACCCAACAGCAGGAACTCATTAGGACTGACTACAGTAGGGGTGTGTGGCCTAACATGCAAAGGAGTTCCTGCTACAAAAAAAGGCCCTGGGTTTTGACAACAAACAAGGTAAACAGAATAACAAGCAAAAGGTGGGTGTGGCTGGATGACCACACTTCTGGTAACATGGGGGTGCGGCCTGATGTGCTAATGAGCTGTGCTGTCAGGGATGTGGCCCAATATGCTAATGAGTTCCTGCTGTTGGGTGTGGCCTATTATGCTAATGAGTTCCTGCTGGGCTTTTTCTACAGAAAGAGCCCTGCTAATCTGAGAGAACCGGGTTTGATTCCCTACTTCTCCACTTGCAGCTGCTGGATGACCTTGGGCCAGTTACAAGTTCTGTCAGAGCTGTTCTCTCAAGGGCAGTTTCTGTCAGAGCTCTCTCAGCCCCGCCTACCTCCCAGGGTGTCTGTTGTGGGGAGGGGAAGGGAAAGGAGTTTGTAAGCTGCTCTGAGACTCTGAGTGAAGGGCGGGGTATAAATAGCCAATCTCCTCCTCCTCCTCCTCTCTAGGAGCCCAAAGCGCCCTCTCACACCCTGAGAGGGAGAGGCCGTCCGTTGCTTCTTTGTGGACCCGCCGCCCTCCAGTCAGCCTCTGTTAGGTGGGAGATTTGGCTGCCTCTTGGCCTCAGCTCTGTTCGGATCGTTCGAGTCTTCCTGATGCAGAGATGCTACGGAACTACCGGGGAACCTTGCCCCATGCCATTTCCAGGCCCCTTTCCTTTCCATCAGGAGGCAAATTCAGAACAGTGACTCATTCAGGAACTGCTCTTGGTTTTTAGTCACGAGCCCTCTCAGGAACTGCTCTTGGTTTTTACTCACGAGCCCTCGAAATCTTTTCAGGCAGAAGTGAAATGTGCTTCCAGCTGCAATTTAGAGAAGAGGCTTCATCTGCCGTGGGAAATGAGGGACGCTTGGTCGGTAGCCGTTCTGATGATGAAAGGGGGGGAGGACGCCGAGGAGGGGAGCGTGGATGGAATTTCATAGGCAGAACGTCTTTAAAGACGGGGATTCTTTAGTGTGATAATGCTCCCTCTAAGCCGTGGAGTCTTGCGAGCAAAAATTCTACTTTGTGAGCTCCTGGCATTAAAGTAGTGAGCGAGCGGTTTGGCCGCTGCATAAATTAGTTTGCTCTGGAGCCCTCCTTCCTGAGCCGAGACCAAAACGTGTGAGCCGGAGGCTACAAACATGTGAGCTAGCTCACACTAACCCAGCTTAGAGGGAACACTGGTGATGGCCATCAGATAATTTAGCCTGTAGGAAGTTGCTGCTCTGGCTACTGACTTATTAAGCTCCTATGGTTTGGTGTCGTGGTTAAGTGCGCGGACTCTAATCTGGGAGAACCGGGTTTGATTCCCCACTCCTCCCCTTGCACCTGGCTGGGTGACCTTAGGCAAGCCATAACTCTGTTCTTGAAAAAGAGCCGTTTCTGTCAGAGCTCTCTCAGCCCCACCTACCTCACAGGGTGTCTGTTGTGGGGAGGGGAAGGGACAGGAGTTTGTAAGCCGCTCTGAGACACCTTTGGGTAGTGAAGGGCGGGGTATAAATAAAGAGTGTTTACTCAGGCTCCTGTGATAAGGCATAACTAAGTGACACTTGTAGGAACTGCGGTGGCTCAAGTGGTTAAGATGCTGAACTGCAGGCTGTGGAAGGTCAGTAGTTCAGCAGTTCGAGACCCGGGTGCCGCACGATGGAGTGAGCTCCCATCTCTAGTTCCAGCTCCTGCCAACCTAGCAGTTCGAAAGCAAGAAATTGCAAGTAGATCAATAGGTACCACTTCGGTGGGAAGGTAACAGCGTTCCGTGCGCCTTGGTGTTTAGTCATGCTGGCCACATGACCACGGAAATGTCTTCGGACAGCGCTGGCTCTTCGGCTTTGAAATGACATCGCGACGTCATTGCACTGGGTACGTCAGCAACGTCATTGCACTGGGTACGTCAGCCTGATCTGGCCACTTTGGGGGGTGGGGTTCTCCCCGCCAGCCGGATTAGGGGACCTTTCGGTGGGAGAATCCCCGCCGCCTGGGGGAATTTGGCAGTCCGAGGAGGAGGAGGAGAGGAAATTAGATTTATACCCCACCCTTCACCACCCAAGGGAGTCTCAGAGCAGCTTACAAACTCCTTTCCCTTCCCCTTCCCAAAAAAGACACCCGGTGAGGTAGGTGGGGCTGAGTAAGCTCTTGACAGAAACTGCTCTTTTCAAGAACAGTTGTGCCAGAACCATGGCTTGCCAAAGGTCATCCAGCCAGGTGCAAGTGGAGGAGTGAGGAATCAAACCCGGTTCTCCCAGATTAGAGTCCGCGCACTTAACCACGACACCAAACTGGCTGTTCCATTTAACATCCGTGCAAAAGGGGGCAAGAGGCCGGGAGCCCTGTCTCTGTTGGCGGCACATGCATGCTGGCAGATGGAGTAGGCTAAATGGCCGGAGGTCCAAGGGCTGCCAGCCCAGCAGATGGACTTCTCTGACCCTGCGAGTTGAAGCCCACTTGTGCTAGGGCTCTACAGGAAATGTTAGGTATAAATTTTGCGAAGCCTTTGTACAGACCTTACCGTTCTCTCCCAGGCGCTCGAGTCAGCTTCAATATCGTTGCTCAGACACAGGTTTCTGACAGACAAATTGCGTTAAGCATTTAGCTGCCTCCCACTGTTCCCTGTGATGCACGGTGCCAGCAACGCTTTCTGAGGCCAGCCAAGAGCTCCTTGCCAACAATGGATCAGATTACAAAATTTAAATCAAGCGACATCAGGCAGAGTCTGGGAGCTGACCCTGACGTCCTTTCTACACAGTCCTGGGATGTTGGGTTACGTGGCCTCTTTTTGCAAAACCAAAGTCAGACGGGAGCCCTGGAAAATGTTTCCTTTGAGAAAGGGAGCCTTAGGCTGCCCCCAAAACCGATGCTGACTTTTAAATTCAGATTGCGGTTCTCAGGATAAAATGAGAAAGATGTCCTCATTCAAGGCTCACCAGGGCATCGAAACAGGAAATTTCCACGGTCCAGAGGTCATTTCGGGGGGAACGCGGGGGAACGTGCACCCCAGGTGAGGTACGGGGGGCGGGGCACATGACGAAGCCCCGCCCCCTGCTTCCGGCCGCTCCGCTTCCAGCCCTCATTCAGCCAGGAGGAGGCAGGAGAAGAGGAAGGGTAAGTTGCTTCCTCCCCGCGCATTAACCCACAAAGACTTCTGTGGGGATAAAACCTTGGCAACCTTTAAAGTGCCAAGACAATTATGGTCACAGTCCGTAGACATGAAAAGATAGAGCCACAGGAACTGTGTAAAGTGCGCTCAATGTTTCTATAATGATAGCAATAATGTTATAAATATGAAAATTACAAAAGTGATACTAATACATTCAACTTGTAAATCCAGTTACATAAGATAGAAGATAACAACGACGGCGGGACGGTGGTCTCCGGAATGTGATGCCGTTTCGACAAGCGTCTTCTTCTGACCAAGAAGCTATAAGTAGATGATGTGTGGAAAAGTGCACTTCATTAGAAAAGCTACCCGATTCACATGAAGTTCAATAACAGTTTCACCTATTTCATTTATTTCGTCTGAGAGAAATTTTCTCCATTACTTGTGCAATGAAATAGGTGAAACTGTTATTGAACTTCATGTGAATCGGGTAGCTTTTCTAATGAAGTGCACTTTTCCACACATCATCTACTTATAGCTTCTTGGTCAGAAGAAGACGCTTGTCGAAACGGCATCACATTCCGGAGACCACCGTCCCGCCGTCGTTGTTATCTTCTATCTTATGTAACTGGATTTACAAGTTGAATGTATTAGTATCACTTTTGTAATTTTCATATTTATAACAATATTGCTATCATTATAGAAACATTGAGCGCACTTTACACAGTTCCTGTGGCTCTATCTTTTCATGTCTACGGACTGTGACCATAATTGTCTTGGCACTTTAAAGGTTGCCAAGGTTTTATCCCCACAGAAGTCTTTGTGGGTTAATGCCCGCTCTGTCAGACGCAGATGCTGGGTCCTTACTAGGCAGACGTTTTCAGATGGGTAGCCATGTTGGTCTGAAGCAACAGAACAAAGTTTGAGACTGGTGGCACCTTTAAGACCAACAAAGTTTTGTTCTGGGGATAGGCTGGTCATGCACATGAAACGTTGTTCTAGGCCAGTGGTGGCGAACCTATGGCACGGGTGCCAGAGGCGGCACTCAGAGCCCTCTCTGTGGGCAGGCGTGCCATCGCCCCAGCCAGGCCCAGACCATAGTTCAAGTGTCGAATTCTCGGCCAAATAATATTAAGCAAATGAAAGCATTTGGGATTGCTTTCCTTACTTTGTTTGGATCATCTTAAGTTAATGTATGAGTTGTTTTTTCTAAAGTAAAACATCAGTATTCAGGTTAAATGGCCGTGTGGGCACTTTGCGATAAATAAGTGGGTTTTGGGTCGCAGTTTGGGCACTTGGTCTCTAAAAGGTTCGCCAACACTGTTCTAGGCAGACGTTTGTCTATGAGCCCTGACCTGGATAGCCGAGGCAAGCACTGATCTCGTCAGATCTCAGAAGCTAAGCAGGGTCGACTCTGGCAAGTGCTGGGATAGGAGATCTCCTTGGAATAACAGGAGGCGGGGGCGGGCTTTGATCAGCCATCTCTCTGAAAATCCTCCAGGCCCCAAGTAGGGACCAGTCACCAGAAGGCGCCATGACTTCCAGGTGTACACACACTCACACGTACGTGCGCACACACACATAT